CTTACTTCATCAAGTTTAAGGTCTCCAATACCAAACCAAAGAATCGTGTACGAATTTTTTACAAGCTACTGTAGAGCGCCGGTGAAAACAGCACTAGTCGAGATATCTCAACTTTGAGGTATTTCAGATCAACCAAATTTGTATGTGTTGCACGTATATGGGTGGTACTGTTATAACGTTCAGGAGAGTCTCAACAACAAGCCCAACGTACAGTTTTCTGAGAGTTCTCGACATTTGTTTTCGCCGGTGATGGTTGACAGGCGGTGAAAATGCCGCTCCTAAGAATAGTGCAAGTTACAGCGACTGCGCACTGTGGCAAGCTGGCATGGTCATTATACTATATTTACTCAAACTACTGACGTTCTATGTTGAGAACAGTCCGGTATACACAGACTGCACTTATTCAATAAATTATAACTAATAATTAAATACTTCAAAACTAGTCACGGTAGCGACCGTGACAATTGCATATCTAACGCTGCACATGCTACCCCGAGATCACCACATAAATTTATATTTGAAGAGTGCAACGCATTGTGGGTGATTATTTATGAGTATATTTAAATAATTGTTTTCAATTTATCGTAAAATAAAAGTGTTGTTTCGACAACGGCAGTATTCGTTACTACCAGTTTTCACCATCGGACCTTCTATGTTTTTGTCTACATATTAACCTATAGATACTAAGCGGAGGGTCGGCAAGGGGCATTTTCGTAAGCTGTAATCTATTGTTTTTATTTTCGTAAGAATGTAATTTAAATAAATAAAAAATGTAAATTCGTAGATATGGGCAAGGTGTAAAAGGCAATCAGCTAATTTATTCGTCTGTAATTTTACAAAGATCTTATTTTTGTAAGCGTATGAAGCATCTTCCAAATTAAATGTCTTATTTCGTACGCAATTTCCAATTTTGATTCTTATACACAAATTATCTAAAATATTATAAAAATGTAAAATGTAATTAGGAATTCACTTTATCTGTAAAGTGTAAAAACCTATATTTTACTGTCAATGGAACTTTCATTTTATTTCCTGTAAAAACGTAAAATGCCTTTTTATTTCTTGTAACCTGCCAGCTATCCCCCTTGCCCCCTCCCTTAGCGGTAATTCGAAGCGAAATCGCATTGGTGTTTTCATTAATCCATACAACGAATACCGCTATGGTAATGGTCAAAGCAAAACGTGCTAAAATACAGTAACCACATTGACTCTTTGATTACGAGATGGTCGCATCATCTACCGTTTATTTGTTTGTGTTAGGATGACCGTTTTGATCTTCTGTTATGCGTTATAAGGATTATGACAACCATACGAATCGGTGATACAATGAAGGGGTCTTTAATATCACCTCTAATCTCATACGCGTCTACGATTCCTTCTAGTCATCGTCTCCCATGAGCATTTACGCCCCCATGTTCCAGTGTGATAACATAACTTAATAATAGCAAACTCCACTGACTTACCACCGAGAGATTTAATTGAGAGCATTAGGGGGCCTCAAAAGAGACCCCATATGTTATTATTCAGTGTTACTTTATATATTATCCCGATCTACTAATCACTTTATTATGATATGGATATGAAAAGAAATATAGACAGACAGGAAATTGATGTTGAACGGATACGAGATCTCGAGTATCCTGGGTAATTTCCCGTCCACAGTTCCAAGTATTAAGCGCATTTTAATATAAAACATCGTGTTTCCAAGAGTGATATTGTCACGTGTTTGTAGGTAAACCGATAATTTGTCACACAAGGTACGATTCACGCGACAGCAGTGTCATCTACCGTCACTAGGTGGCAGTGTTCGTCAAATACAACAACAAATAAATTTTGTTTTAAATGCTGATATCCACATACTTATTCATTTTGTACTTTTTTTTTAGAAATTCGTTGTAAAGTATAGTATGAGCCATGAAAAACTACAGTATTTACCCGATCGAGAAATTGGGATGAAATTTTTCTAATTTTGTCGTGACGAGCTACGCCCTCAATGTTCTGGACTTGTTCTACTCGCAGTCCAACACGAAATGCGGTATAATATGATATGTTTGCATGTTGTAATCATTGTTTGGTTCTATTATACACTGCGGTCGCACTACTTGGCATATTGATATTTTTCTGCTTTGGAAAGATAAACGCCGGGTCACCAACGTTTGTTACCATTCTGTTCGGTAACAAAGATATATTGAATAGAAAATTCGAAATCATAACAAATAATCCTAATATTGAGTACGAGGTTGTGCGGAAGTACTGGCATTTGGTTGAGTAGCAACATATTCTAAGGCTTACGAAAAATATCGCCGTTAAAATTACACTTTTCACAAAATACCCGACAAGGTGTCTGCGAGAGGGCGCTAATTCCATAACAGATTTTACAAATTGAACTTCGCGAACATTATCTGATCGGCTTCGAAAAATTGTTGTTTTATAGGTTATATATTCCATGACAACAACTCAAACAAGGTGATATATATTCTATTTATTTTATACTCGTGTCAACCGATCTGAAAAGGGTTCATCGTATGAATTGCTGATATGCAAGCAACATTTCAAATGAGAGATTGCTGTGGTGGGGCCACAGTAATTACTCATTTGACAATGAGGCTAACATAGAAACAGAACAGTCAGGGAGATTTTAAGATGTTCTTGCAAATTTGTTTCCTGTAAAAAGTGCATGTGAATAGTGCTTTTACGAACTTTCCGCAAAATTTCACAAAACAGTTCAACTTTAATTATTTAGAGCATGTGTTATCCACACCTTTTGACTACTATTTCTGTGAGCGATTGCGAACGTTACGTGAAAATTGCAGTGACGTGTTCTAAAACTCTGCATATCAGCCCCCCCCCACTCAGGATCCATAGGGGGCCGCATGCGCGTTCCCATTTTCTCGGGAAAGAGGGTACTTTTTGACGATATGTGTTCCCGAGAAAATCGTAGAAAAGGGGGTATTTTTTGCTTGTTTTCCCGAGCTTCTCAAAATAGGGGGTGTATTTCAAAACACTTCCCGAGATATACAAAAAAGGGGGGTTTAAAAGGAGTTCTAGACTGAAAAGTTCCCTAGATAGGGGGGTGAAATTCATCGGAAAAGCCCGTGAAAGGGGGGTTAAATTTTCTTCTTTTCCCTGGATAGGGGGGGGGTCAAAAAATGAGGGAACAAGCATAGGCCCCCCTAAATATAGGGAGTGGGGGGGGGGCGGGATATCAGCCTAAAGGGCTATGAGATAAATACACTGTTACCCACAGGTTTCAAATGACTGATTCCTTTGCTTTATAGCCTGGCATTTCTTACCCATTTCCGATATATTCCAGTCACGAATCTGACATTTACTTCTGCATATTTTATTAACTTTTGTTTTGCACTTCACTTCTGTACTTTCAACTGCCATGTAGTATTACACCCGCTCACTCGGTTATCATATCTATTACGAGTATTCAGTGTTTTTTTCTACTGTTTTTACTGCTTTGGTATGTAATTTATTTTTTTTCTATATTTTTGTTCACCCCAACACGTTACCTTAATAAACACCATTATGTTAGATGTTTAGAGTGTCGACCATTTCTCCCTCTTTTATCCATTTATATTTGACGTGACTCTGGTAACATTATTGGTTCTCGACGAACCTGTCAACCAAACAATTATTCAATCTTTCCAGTGGCGCAGATCGAGACAACCCTTACCCTAAGTTCTCTTGACGCATGCTATTGTGACCAAGGGATAAATAAGTATGGACGACAGAGGTATAATTATCTGGTACAACGAATTCCCGTACTGAGTTTATTTACCAAGATTACACAGGAGAGCGACACTGTAAATTACAGGAACTAAAAACCTAAAAGATATGAAAATACAATAATTTACATTGAGAAATTAACGATAATTCAAATAAAAAAATACATTTCACACTAATACTGGAGTCGCCATTCAATGAAAGCGAACACAATATTAGTTAAAGCACATGTCAGGAACAAAGGTTTGCATGGTCATTGAAGCACATGGCCAGAACAATAGAAACAATCTACATACCCCGTCAGTTGGTCAAATCTAACAAATTCCACTCAGTTAAAAGTTTCTACAGTTGAAATGAGCTGGACTCCGAACATTCGCAAACCAACTCCGGGCTGAATGGTTCAGTGGGCAGAGAGGTGAAAGGACGAGATGCTCCTCAGACGAGTCAAATGATGTTACTGACCCAAACTGACTTCTCAGTGCTGAGTTTCATGGGAAATATGCAAATTACTTCTAATCACTCACGTGTGCCTTTTTTTGGCAAATTCCATGATAACTAATAAATTAAATTACTGAAAATACACAAATCATATATCTTAAATCAGTACGTTAAATAAATGGTTTAAATACATGTCTACATTATCAAAAAAAGTCAGTAGAAATAATCAAAAAAATATTACAGATTAAAGAGCGCCCTCAATGGCCAACTTTACTTAGCTCACATTATTGATAATACCGCAACGTTCAAATAATAGGGCAATTACATTCTCGCTGTTTAAATGTTCCTGGGGAATGTACCAACAAAAGCGGAACTTCCAAATCGTCACAGAAAGAAGAAGTCGTGATGATGATAAACGCTAGAGGGCGGTAAATAACAATGTAAGGCAATCGTGATTGCGAACATGTAAAAATGTCACCGTTGAAATAAAACCCACATAAATAAAACACAGGAAATAATATTTTCTAATAAAGTTAACAATAATGGCAAATCGTAACCATTTGGCTAAATAATTTGATGATTTATGGTTCTTTCATGTCTCGATTTATAAACAATCGACGCAAGAAAGAAAGACGTACTATAACTCAATTTTCTTGTGATTTGATGATTTTCTTGTGATTTGTTGATTTTCGTTCTTATTTACAAATTCTACGAACATATTAATTGTTCTATGAACGACGAGAAATGTACTATAATACGGCAATTCTACTCATGCGCAGTTTTATAATAATATCGCTTACATTTCAACCGGAAGTGATCAGCTGCCTGATATCTTGTAGTGCGACATATCTATTATCTGCAAACCTAGAACGTTCCATTGCTGTGTTTTGTTGATCAAAATGTCTCGGGTACCGTTCACTCACCCGATGTTTGAAGGCTTTGATTTTCCAGCATCACAGGTGTTTGACGAAGAAGTGAGTCGAATGCGGGAAAGGATGCGGGCTAACATGGAGAGATCGGTAACCGAATCGCCGAGTTTATTTCGTGGATACTTTGTGAGTCCAGTACAGCAACAGTCTCCCACCGCTCTACAGCGTCGTATCAGCACACAAGAAGACGATCAAGACAAATTTCGTGTCGTGCTTGATGTACAGCATTTTAAGCCCGAAGAATTAGAAGTAAAACTGGTGGAAAACAAACTGATGGTTCACGCGAAACATGAAGACAAAGAAGACGAGCACGGATCAATTTCACGTGAATTTACCCGATACTACGTCTTACCCGACGACACTAACCTCGATGAAATCAAGTCTTATTTTTCTAAGGATGGGATACTGACGTTAGAAGCACCCAAATTGAAATCGGTTGAAGGGCAGCCAGAAGATCCAATCCCGATCCCCATTAAGCGTGAAGATCCGAAACCAGTGGAAGGGGCTGCTGCAAAAGAGTGATCTGCTCATTCGGAACGGTGTGGTTAACCTTGAATAGTCATGTATATGACGTACCAAGAATGTCATTCCCATATTGTACATTTCATTGTGGGAGATATGACCATATCGATGTGTTCGTGACTGTCAAGGCAATTGAATTTCTCACACTAACTATACGTTCAGTATTTTTGTAATGTGGGAATAGTTTAAGGTATCACACATACAACTTAGTTACATTGGAATGGCATTTTAACTTAGAAAGTAGTCTGATGGTGAAAATATTTATTAATTGTTTTAAGAATAACGCCTTCAAATTGCCTAACGTTTTTAGTAAATTTTGATGTAGTCGTAGGACGGACAGTCACATCTAATTATATTCCGATATAAATAGCTCCTGTAGAGCGGGTACATGGTGTGGTCAGTTTCGTTGTACTGCATTTTTAACATTTTACAGACAATGACGTTATCAACACGCATAATACCAGTGTATTGTTCAGGATCTGGTTGTAATGTTTCCGCCTTGATTGTACTGGTGTTTCCACCATTGCCGTTATAATATACCACCGATGTGTGCAAGTACTCATGTATTTCGGACGATTGTAGACGGTAAACGCATTTGTATAATTGTAATAGACCGTGCTCGCAAGGAAGAACATTGCATTCAGAAAGTTCTTTAGTTTATTCACAATAGATGCATTCGTTTTTTTGTTTAATGTTTTATTCATTTAAAGTTTATAGTGAAAACAACTTGAACCGTGTCTGAAGGGAACCGCCCACTGCTCCATTCAACAGTACGATGCCTGCATAGACGATCCCCAACTGACAACTTGAAATAAGATCTTTTCACGCCCTGTGATGGGAATATAATAACAACATAGAACAACGACGGAGTTTTAAGTCCGGTGATAATGATGCCTTTTGGGGTTAGACTGTACTGCTAGTAAAAGTGTGTGACATTACTAGGGACTAAATAAACACAATGTAATTAGGTATAGAAATACTAACATATATTTTCAGTCAATAAATTTTATTTAAGAAGCAAACCCCGTCCTTTGTAATGTGTTATTTTATCGACACTGACCGGTCCTGTATTATCTACGTCAAACATAGCCATTGGAATGAGTCCAATGGGTCCCGGGGTTATTGGAGGTCACGCGAGATTTGCATATGAAAATATGTGATGATCGGTATTAGTAAAGTAATCGGGCATGACTTGTGCGCTCTGTCTCGGTGATTTGGTGTTGACAAAATATACTCGTACCAATAATAAACAATAACGATATACGGTAATTTTACCGACTTTAAATTATCAGTAACTTTATTTACGATACATTTAATGGAAATGTGTGTTAGCGGACAGTGAATGGAAATTTCATTCTCGAGTGTATAGTCGTCAAAAGAAGGCGGCGACGAAGGGAAATATTAGCTCAATCCAAATATTGATACACAGATTTTCTTTGTGGATTTGTTGTTCATGTACGAAAATACAGCAAAGGGAAAGTTTATTTTAGGTAAAGCCTGAAGAGATCTGTTTGTACCCCACCCCTAATCCAAATTTTAACACTCACCCCAGCCACAATCCAATTTTATATTCCCCATCTGGATAACTAGGTGACCTTAGGAGGGGCATATACAATTACATTAGGAAGCGGTGGAGGGTAGGATAGGGTTAGAGTTAGGGTTAAGGGTGAGGGTACAAAAGGGACTCGTTGCTATTTAGTTCATGTTTATATGACCAATAATACTGGAAATGTCTAACAACCGTACTGATAAGATGTATATGAGGGTTTGATATACTAGTACATTGGGGGGGGGGTAATATATATTCACTCAGCTGCGCATTGTACATTACATTAAAATTTAAATTGTCCACGTTGCGTAGTCACTGTCGACGAGGAAGGCGCGACATTGCACCTTTTACCGGCTTTCGAATAATAATATTATATCGATAACAGAGTCTAATGAAAACCGTTGAATTAGATCTAAAATATTGGTATGGGACGTCCATAGATAAATTTAACGATTTCTATGAAATCTAATACATTGAGTAGACATTGAGATTAGATGGGGTGTCAAAATCGTCGATAATAAATCGATATTAGATCTAATAGAGAATATTGTCTTTATGTTGACAATACCTATTAGGTATAATATAAAATAAACTATTAGATTTATTATCAGATATTATCAGATATTATCAGGGAATAAAAACCATAGGTGACTTGTTAAAACCTCTAAAAACATTGTCTAATAGAAACCATTAGATTTGTTAGACTAATACTTGTCTAGTAGTTTTCATAAAAAAATAGACAAGTCTAATGGTTTATATTAGATCTAATACTGTAAAACATGTTGAAAAAGCGGCATGCAATTTTAACGAATTGTGGTAAAATTACGTAAAAGTGATATGTTGATTTAGCGAATCTCTCTCGGCTCGTCATTGTTGATTCCTTTGTTTGGCGGCCATTTTGAATTAATAATAAATTCATTAGCGACATCTTGAATTAGCGAATCAGTTCTCTCGCTAAATTCGCGCAAAAGACATGTTTTACAGTATACACATCCATTAGAGTGTGCCATTAATGTCAAGTTTTATTATTAGAGCCACCTTTCAAGTCGAGAGTAGATATTCTCCGATAAAATGCGATAATAAATCAAGTGGACAATGTCTATCGGATTTAATAAAAAACATTAGACAAATCGATTGTATTAGATATTATCGGAGACTAACTACATCTATTATATCCTGTAGACTCTAAAAGTATTCTGTAAATGTTCAGTTTTCGACAATCTAATAGATAATGAATCTAATGCCGCGCCTTCATTCTATGGACGGCTGACTGGAAAATGTGAATCGTTGAGAAGGGAAGAGATTTTACGTAACTTCCCTGCCTACCAATTTATGACACTGCAAACCTAGATACCGCCCTCCCTGGTGGGATTATGGTTCAAGTCTCCACGTCTGCTGTACAAGCAACAGCACGTTGAAATAATATAAAACTCGCCAGGGAACGCGATTTTGTATCCACACTCATTTCAAGTGTCCGGTCTGGTACAAGCTAAATAGTTATTTATTTATTTATTTATTTATTTATTTATTTATTGTGGGAATTACACAACAGTACTGCATAATACGCAAGACAATGAGGGAAGAAATATAATGAATTGTACTTAGTACCAATGTGGAATTAATATTTATTTGACGGAGGATGAATTAAGTGTAAGGTAATATAATGTTCATTTCAACATCAACGAGACACACACTCATCTGTGAAATAATGAATCGTGACGTTTGTATTAGATATTATCTCAGCAGTGATGGTCAAGACTCGACCTGGATACTTGGGAGCAGTTCGACAACGCGTGGAACCAGTACAAGAGAACAGCAAATATTTACGCATGCGCAGTATTGGCTTGCGTTAACAATTCATTGCATTGTATTAACAGTAAAAAAAAACTCGTTTACACCACATAAGCATTTAAACACAAAACAAAACTAAATTAAAATAGTGCATCCTCCCAAGAAGCGGAGGTTGAAGTGAAATAAAACGTACAATGTGTCGCAGCACACTGGTGTTTTAGTCAGAATATTGTAATATCTTACTTTCAGACCCCATCATAACATATAAAGATATATTGTTATCAAATCATTCGATGGGTGAAATATATATGCAATATTAGCGAAAATATGTCATTTTTAGTATTGAAAAAAAAAATGCTTTATATTCATCATGAACTAAAACTGCTTTGCGGCACACTGTATAGTATGCGTTCAATGAAAATTACAAATACGCATGCGCGGTGATTGTTTGCACAACAAATGAAACAATCAGCGTACATGCGTATAAAAGAATTTCGTTGTTTCAACGAAAAAAAAATAGTATTAGAAGCAGCTAGTATGAGAAAGGTTTCATCCTCTCTGTCTTTGGAATGTACTTATCGCCACGACGACGAAGAACCGTTTTGGTAACGTCAGCCACGCTGTGTGCATCGGCGAGTGCTCGGTGATTGCTACCACTGCGAAGTAAACCAAGTCCTGCTAACATGTCTGACAACTTGGGCCAACGACGACCAACCAGACGCTTATATGATTTGTACTCTGTCTTCAATTCCACGAAGTTACGAGCCCAGTGAGGGAAGCTCAGCTTGGAGGTGTTGTTGAATTGGATGAATAGATACTTTCCGCAATCGAATGGTCTGATAAAAGATAACAATACAGAAGGGATTTAGATATCACCCGCACTAAAACCTGCATCCGTCTTTATTTTAATATTCACTTGTACTGAAATGAAATGACCCTAAAATAAAATAAAGCCGAGGAAATTTCAACTCAATTTCTGCAGGCTAATAAAGCAACCCGTATAGCTGGGACGATTTCTTTCGTCAATGATAAATATACGTTGTTATATGTATTGGGAATGCCCTATTTAAAATTTTAAAAATGAAACCAATAATTGTAACATGTGTGATTTTCGTAACGAGCAAAGTCTTTGATAAAATACGAGTAGAGCAGTCATTAGCGATGATAAGTATGTGCGTGTCGGCATATAGTCGCAAATGAACATAACAGTTTCGTGACGTCACGATGGCGTATTACATAAAAAACTACTTGCTGTTCAGTGCAGATGGTACTATAAAACTTTATTGGAAAAAAAAGTTGTATAAAAATACAGTATATATGGTCAAATATGTTTTTTTTTGTCATGCACCTCTATTTGACACAGCTCAATGTGCTAACAACATTAAACATTAAATATAGATAAATGTAATTAACAAGTAATTAATAGCTACAAGTGAACACACCCGTCTGTTACGAGCTGAAAATTTGGCGTCTCTGCTCCAGGTTTCAGACCCTTGGATTTCATCCAATCGATGAAGCGCCCCCACACGTCAGGGAACTCGTCGGCTGCATCAACTGTTTCCTGGAAATTCAAAGTGCAACAGGTTGTAAACGCTCACGTTTATAACAGTTGAGATAAAAAACAACAACACCAACAATATAATATGTTACTATATTATTCAGAGAATACACGTCACGTACTGTGAATCATTACATCGTAAGAAGTGGAGTACGCAATGGTTATATTGTCACCCGTACGTGGAATGCTTAATGAGCATGCGTAGAAGGAATACGACTGAATACGTAATGTGATACTCGAGGGTGTGTTCTGATAAACGTGTAAAAAGCTAGCATGTTTTGTTATTTCATTGACAATTTTCACCTGTGATATTTTAGTCAATTCTAAGCAGAACGGCTGAAGCGTTGGATGTTTAACTGGACGGCAATAGGACTGAAATTCGCCTTTCTGAAAAACAAATATTTAAACATAACTGCCAGTGATTATACCTGTAGCATTACTGAAATGTATGTGTCGGGTTCAGTTGTAGACATTGCCAAATAAGGTGAATGATTCCACACACGATTTAAATGAATTCATAGCAAGGATGTGGTGTAACTATGGCAACATGTCTTATGTATGTATTGATTGATACATGTTCTGTTTGAGGGCATAGTACGGGCAGCAGTGAAACACCAAAATCCACGACCTCTTGACACAACGACCTTCTATGCAACGAACATGATCTATGATTCAATGTTAATTTCTTTGTGTCATACTTGACATTTTCAAGTAGGCATATGTAGGTATATAACGAACATGGGTAATGTCAGCGTAAACAAAAAGGTTACCCGTAAAAACCACATAAACACGGAAGTAGTATAAATAGACTTTGGCCCAAAACATTAGCATAATATATAGTTATATACAATATATAGCAGTATATTTAAAACAACAAAACCACTTGTTGATAGTGGTGTATTATGCAACCAATACGCACAAGAAGTGTCGCAACACCATGTTTAATTGCCGTAGCGGCATAAAGTACGGCGTTACATACACATGCTTCTTCGCATAGACGCACTTATCACACAACCATACATATAAATCAATACTAACCTCTTCCAAAGTATTGGAGTCCAGAATAACAGCACCAATGTCGATGATCTCAGGCTGAAACCCTTCAGTAACCTGATTTGCTGGACACTTGGGGTCCACACATGTCGCTTCCAGGTCGAAGCAAAGATAGAACTCCGGTCGTGGCATTGTTGTAACCGAGGTTCAATACAGAGGAGCAGTTCAATACAGTGGCTTCCACTATGTCTAACAGTGTAATTGGCACGTCACACAAAGGTATTCACACGGCAATGTGTATATTATGATACGAGGGATTTCCCAGAATGTTAGAGTCAGCTAATGTTGAAAATCACCAGACCAGCATTTTCCACTAATGATATTCACCAATGGATAATCTCATTGAATTTTTGAGGTCACAATGAGATATTTTAATTTATAGCGGTATTATTCTCCACACTATTTAAAGTGAAAATTAAATTATACTCATTCAGTATTTTATAATTCACAAGGTTTTTGTCTTCAAGAACTTCGTGCAAATAACGAAAAATGTGTTACGGTATTATTTGTGCAGTTTGGCTGACATTCGTGATACCATGGCAACAATACAATACAATGTATAGGGTCATTGTGATGCACTGATCAACGCGTACGCGACTTTCTGCGAGAATGGCGGCAATCTTGTTATCACATCAAACACATTGCTGTTCGCCTGCCCAATCCTGACGTTACTAATTTGATTTCAATATTTCAGACACAATTGTGGGATTTTGAGACGTTTAA